TGTGTGTGTGTGTGTGTGTGTGTGTGTGTGTGTGTGTGTGTGTGTGTTGCTGATTTAAGCTCTCTTCATGCCTCTCCCCATCAGGCAGGCAAAGATGGTCATCACCATCTTAGGGTTAACTTCTACCAGGTCTTCGGGCAGGGCGTACACTTTGGCCCCAATCTTCCTGGCCATGGAGACGGCATACCTGAGACAGGGAAGACTGGACATCACTATGACATCACATCACTTCATGAGATGTGGGACTTTGGTTCTGTACTCAGATGGTCTTCATTCAATGTTTATAAAACCATGCGAGTACCAAACCACAGTCCCACGTCTCTGTGTTCCTTCGTTGTCACATCTGATCAAGTCATTAAGGAGGTCCATACATAGACATCAAAGACCCTGATAATTATTCAGTCCTCCTGTTCCTGTCTCCATCTTTGATTGGCCATGCATTCTATGATGCAGATAAAGTTTACAGAAGTGAAATGAGCAGTGGGGTTTTGATGAGCAAAACCCTCTCTGGAGCTTCTTACTTGAGACATGCTCACTTCACAGTAGAAATAACTTCCACGAGTGAGAATAAACACTTGTGCCTCATAGTTCAGTGGATGGAGGAAAGCTCAGGCAGAAGCTACTTTAGCTGTGTTCAAACTTTTGTCTGAATATTGTGGAGACGTGTGGGTGGTGTGAGTGATTACTTGGCATTGTCCAGTTTGTCTTCGTCTGAAATGTCGTTTCTTTTCACAAGGTCATAGTTAACGCTCTGCGGCTGGATGGCGTCGATCAGGTCCAGAACTGGAAGACTGCTGCTGATTGCTTTGTCCTAAACAACAGCAGAACACAGCTGGTTTTCACCTGTAAATATGATTAGTCTCCCTCAGACGAGCGGCTCTTTCAGTCACTTGCCTTGAAGCTTTTGATGGAGGAACTTTTGCCGGCTTCAGCTAAAGTCTTGTTGACCCATGAGATGATTAGATCATCTCCAGCAACTGCTCCATGTCCAAGGTCCTCCAGCACATTTAACGTGTACCTGCAGGAAGTTGGGTGTCATTAAACCCCACGGTATCACCAACATGCTACGGATTGAAAAAATGTTTCATATGAACTGTCAATCATTTTCATGGTCAGTATGATGAGTTCTCTGATGTCTCCAGTAAACTGAAGGTGTTGAACACTGCCATGTTCAGCTGAACAACAGCTCCACCTTCCTGTCCTGGGCTGAACAACCACCCAAATGATGCCCATCAAAGTTTTCAGGTCCTCTGGATGATTTACGTTTGTGGAAATGTTTCATCTTTCATTCAAAAGACTCCATCAGTCTGAGGAGCTGAAACACAAACTCCACCAGAGGACCTGATTTAACTGGATTATTGAGCATGAATCAGGAAACTCAAATGGTGCTTTGCCACTGTCTCAACTCTCAATGGTTCCACTCCACACTGCACTACTTAAGGGCCTCTCCACTGCCGGCGCCCACTCCCAATCAGCCCAGTTTATGGGAACACTGTGTTTGAGGTTTCAGCAGCGCTACATCACTGGATGAGCTGAAGGTTGTCACCTCCTCATCAGCTGCCACACCAACGCCAATGTGAGCGTCGTGTTTCCATCATACAGGTCCTGACCGCCGATTCCCACCAGAGAAAATCCTGCTTTCTTCTTGCCCAGCTCCACGGCGTAGTTACAGTTTTCAATCTGGAACATACCAAAACAAATAAACTCATGCAGATTAATTTTGTTCAATAAAATTCTGTTTATGAATTTAACAAGGTTGTTTATCTCAGGTCTGACACAACATGGATACAGCGCTAACACTCCAGTTAGATGTGCAGCAAAGACTGACAGAAAACAAACAGCTGCTTTAACTTTCCTTCATAAACTACAGTGTATTTTCCAGGAATAACCAGGATATAAAAATAAAGTTAACCTTTTTTCCCTGAAACATTAGTAGATTCAACTCTCAGGGAACCCACCAGATCCCACCCTTGTCCTGTTTCTAGGATTGCATGGACTCTGCTGTCCAAGCTGCAGGACACAAAGGAGGAAGACAACCGTCCTCTGCAGGACAATCTAGCTTCTAAACTCAGAGATTTGATGGATTCTGGCCACACAGCAGCAGCTATTTATTTTAATTGTGCACTTTACAACATTTTTGTATGCATTTTATAGCTTATTGATCCATGAATTTCTATTTATAGATGCATTTTGCAATTATTTGTCTTCTTATCCATGTATTTACAACTTCTGTCTTTTTATACAGGCCTGTTTATAACTTATTAATCTGTGCGGTTTTCTAGCTGATCTTTAATCTCTGAATGATGCTCGTGCTGTCTGAATCATGTCTGTTGTTGTGATGTGTTGCACGGTGAGTCTGTTTGGCCAGGCCAACCGAGAGACATAGTCTGTCCAGCGTGTCCTGGGTCTTCCCCAGATTCTTCTCCCAGTAGGACATGCCCAAAGCACCTCCCTAGGGAGGCGCCCAGGAAGCATCCTTACCAGATGCCCGAACCACCTCAACTGGCTCCTCTCAATGTGGAAGAGCAGTGGTTCTACTCTGAGTCTCTCCTGGATAACTGAACTTCTCACCCTATCTCTAAGGGAGAGTCCAGCTACCCTGAAGAGGAAACTCATTTCAACCACCTGTATCCACAATCCCATTCTTTCAGTCACTACCCAGAGATCAGATTGGAGGTGTTGATTCTCATCCCAGCCACTTCACACTTGGCTGTGAACCACTCCAGTGAGAGCTGGAGACCGTGGCACAATGACGCCAACAGGACCACATAACCTGTAAAGAGCAGAAACAGAACTTCTCCACCCCCTGGCTGCACCGAGAAATTCTGTCCATACAAGTTATGAACAGAATCGCTGACAACGGACAGCCCTGATGGAGACCAACTCCCACCCTGAAGGGGTCCGATTAGTATCGGCAATGTGAACCAAACACTCACATATAGGGACCGAACAGCTCATAGCAGCAAGCCCCCAATCCCATACTCATACTTGCATGACACCTCGAGGACCCTGGTGAGGGTAAAGAGCTGAGCCAGTGTTCCACAGCCAGAACGGAACCCACATTGGAACGGAACCCTGGATCTGAGGTTCAACCAACGATCGGACTCATTTCTCCAGTACCCCTGGATAAATTCTACGTAGATAAATAACGTGAATTGAATTCACATGATCAGAGTGAGGGCAGCACGGTGGATCAGTTGGTAGAGAGCTGTTGCCTCTCAACAAGAAGATCGCCAGGTCAAATTCCGGCTGGGGACCTTTCTGGGTGGAGTTTGCATGTTCTTTCCGTGCATGCATGGGTTTTCTCCGGGTACTCCAGTTTCCTCCCACAGACCAAAAACATGCATGTTAGACTGATTGGTAACTCTAAATTGTCTCTAGGTGAGAGTGAGAGAGTAAATGGTTGTTTGTCTTGTTGTCTCTATGTGTCCCTTTGATGGACTGGAGACCTGTCCAGGTGCCCCTGTGATAGACTAGAGATCTGTTCAGGTGTCCCTGTGATAGACTGGAGACCTGTCCAGGTGTTCCTGTAATAAACTGGAGACCTGTCCAGGTGTTCCTGTAATAAACTGGAGACCTGTTTAGGTGTCCCTGCCTCTCGTACTTTGACTGCTGGATATGGACACCAGTGACCCCCGTGAACCTAAAAGAAGAAAGATGATGGATGGATGGATGATCAGAGTGAACCACATTTTCAGTGTTTGTTTCCATTCATAAAGAAGCTGCTGCAGTTCTGGTCTTTAACAAAAGGTGTCACTGAATACAAAAAAGGCACCAGAAGTTTTTCACAATTAAAAACAAAGATAAATGTCTTCTTCACTCACAAACACAACTATACTTGTTTAAATAGTGATGGTTTCATATAACATGGCTGCAGGAAGTTCATGTAAACAGATTAAAGTTGAACAGATAAATGCATCTAGATTTATGGCTGCTTTTCCAAACCCATTCCGTTGTGCACATCTGCATGTGTTATTCTTCACCTCCCTAACATGAATTTCAATTCAATTCAAAAATACTTTATTAATCCCAAAGGGAAATGTAGCCCACGTTTACCCTCTGTACTAGTGATTAAGTAATTTATCAGAACTCAGTGATATTAAAGTTATTCAAGTAATTACAGGTTTTATTATTGCCTGTAGTCAACAAGTACAAACACTTATGTAAGTACTGTAGCAGTTTAAGTGTCTGTATTTTGTTGTTAAGAAGAAAAATTCTTTATATCTGTTGGTCATAAATGTAAGGAGTTGGAAACGCTGGTGCACTGACCTTTTTTAAATGACCTCCTCCCACTCCCTTGAATGGAGGATGGTTGACTCTGTTCCAGTCCACCGGCACCTTAATCTTTTCATAAAGCTGCAGGATCACCACAGCATCCAGCAGATCCCTGCAAACACACATGTTGGTAGTCAGACACTAGCTCTACGTTAGCATGCAGAATGCAAGAAAGGTGAATGCAGAGCGGCACTGACCCGTAGATGTAGTGGACATGAGGACTGACTCCCAGAGAATTCATCCAGTTCCTGAATGTCCTCTCTTCTCTTGTTTCACCTGAGACACAAGCAGACATTAATGAGACATTATTGAGACAATAATGAGGCCTTAGTGAGACATTAATGAAACTTTAATGAATCCTTAATGAGACATAAAAGAGAAATTAATGAAATATTAATGAAACATTAATGAGACATTAATGAAATATTAATGAGATGTTAAGGAATCATTAATGAAAAATTAACAAGACATTAATGAGGCATTAAAGAGACAGTAAAGAAACATTAATGAGGCATTAATGAGACATTAAAGAAACATTAATGAGACATCAATGATACATTAATGAAACATTAATGAGTCATTAATGAAATATTAATGAGAAATTGATGATATGTTAAGGAAACATTAATGAAAAATTAACAAGACATTAATGAGGCATTAATGAGTCATTAAAGAAACATTAATGAGACACCATTGATACATTAATGAGATATCAATGATACATTAATAAAACATCAATGATACATTAATAAAACATCAATGATACATTAATTGAACATTAATGAAACATTAATAAAACATTAATGAGTCATTAATGAGACATTAAAAATACTAATGAGACATTAATAGTACATTATTGAAACATTACTGAAACACTAATGAAACATTAATGGAATATTACTGAAACATTAATGAGACATTAATGAAACGTTTATGAAACATTAATGAGACATTAATGAGTCATTAATGAGACATTAAAAACATTAATAATACATTATTGAAACATTACTGAAACATTACTGAAACACTAATGAAACATTAATGGAACATTACTGAAACATTAATGAGACATTAATGAAACGTTAATGAAACATTAATGAGACATTAATGAAACATTAATGAGACATTAATGTTTCATAGATGAAACTTTGATGTCTCATTAATGTCTTATTAATATTTCAGTAATGTTTCATTAATGAAACAGGCCAGGAGGAGGGTGGTTTCCTTTGCACTGCTCACTCTCCAGAATCCAGTCCTGATTCTCTGGTTTGGTGAGCGCTGGGTGTTTGTTGAAGAGCGTGGCCACAAAGGCCAGGTTCAGCTTGGCGTTTCCTGTCACGATGTCAGTGGCAGTCACAAACTGCCGGCAGCCCAGCCGCTCGGCCTGCTGCAGCAAACACTCGGCTCTCTTTTTGAGATCCTTCTCCTGAAACACAAACAGGCGTCCATGTTCAACAGAACAATAACCCAGAATCAGTGACTTTAAATTGGTGTAAGAAATGTTTTTAATGTTACTTCAACTTTTAAAAACAACATTCTTTGACCCCTTTATGGCCATTCATATTCCTTAAGGGGAAAATCGAACACCTTGTTTGAGTGCTTTAAATTTATATTTTTTAATATTTAATATGTCGTCAATCTTTTAGATTATCTTAGCCTGAAATAAAAATATCAAATTTAAATGATTTTTAATTTATTTTAACTCTTTAAAGTCTTTAGTTAAAAAATAAAATTATGTATTTCATTCATTTTTTTAAATTGACAAAATATTTATTTTATGGTAGTTTTAAATATATACTGTGCATGGGACTTTTGAGAAGACCCTCCAGCCCACCGGACCCCTCAGAACCAGGAGCTCAAAGTGAGTCTTTGTTTTCAGTCAGACTTTCTTCTGTCTCTCTGTCATCTGACGTGGAGGGCTTAAATCATTTTCTCCTAAAACGAGAGAGCTGTGGCACGTCTGATTCTGTAGCTGCGTGTATTCATGACTGCACCTAAATAAATAAATAAATAAACGCGGACAAAAATAAATGTGTTGCTGATTTCTCCCCATCAGGTAAAAACCTGGGACTTGTTACTTTGCTGGCGTGCAGCCGTTGATGTGGACTTTGGTCACTCCTGCACCTGTCTCACTGGATACTCATGATGGTCTGAAGCTGAAGCATGTGGATAAAATGCAAAGCAGACTAACAGGCTAACAGGCTTGATTTGTCCAGAGTCATGTGATCGATGACGTCTGAAGCTTCAGGACCTGATTCAAGTGTTTATCAGGAAGTTCATCACGGACAGGATCTGTGGTGTTCTGGTGCTGATTTAAGACGTGTGTTCATTTGACCAGTTTTGATCTTTGCTGCCACCCTTTGGTCACAGATCACTCCTGAAACTTTTCTTCATCCTGTCTGGATGCTCTTCGTCACCAAACTCCATGTTTTCCTGGACAGTGGACCCTTTTAGACACAGCTGTACCCTGATATCTCTTAACTTTTTTTTTTTTTTTTTTTGCTATGTGAGGAACAGCTTGTACCCTGAAGCTGTTGGATTAATGAATCCCTAATCAGGAATATCACTGTAAAAAAATTTTTTTTTTTTAAATCACTGTGATGCCACTTGATTGATATGTGCTGCTGTCTATCCATGCTGCTGATCTCATGCTGCTGATTTATTTCATGCTGCTGTGTTCATTTGTACTCATTTGCTCACACAGACTCATGTTCATGCTGCTGTTGTTCGGTGTATTGTTTTTGTACTACTAGTGCTTAGTGTAGTCTTAGTTTAGTGTATTTCTTAGTTCATATCTTAGATCTTATTACTGTTCTTTACAATTTATACTTTTGTTGGATGTAACTGGGATCCTGTGTACACAATTTCGTTCCACCACATGTACCTACCACATGTGATGTGAATGATAAAGAACCCTGACCTTGTAACAGCAGATGATGCCCAGTGGTGTTGCATTACTGCTTCCTGTCAAGACATCCAGGTACTGCGTGGTCCAGTAGATTTTATATTTGTGATAAAGGTCCAGGGTTTGTCTGAACAGTAATTTTCTCTCTTACTAACATCAACATGCCTGAATTTTCTCTCAACCTTTATTTCTACAGGTTAATCCCATTGAGCCTCGGGGACTCATTTACAAGAGAGACCTGAATCATCGTGTTCCTCTGACTCTTCGTTCTTCTTTCATTTTCTTGTACGCTTTGGAGGCTTTTCAAAAAGCGTACGTCCTGTGTGCTTGTAAAAATGTTGAAAACTGATCGGCCCCATGGCTGATGGTACGTTTTGAACACCGGTCTGATCACAACCATTTAGATGTTTGAACCAACTGGAAGAAGTAAAGATTAACCCAACACACTTGGAAATGATCAAGTTCATCAATGATCAAGATCATCATGTTTTACCAAAACCAACAGCAGACAAAGAGACGACGAGAAGGAAGGAGCTGCTGAAGCTCCTGACTCACGTATAAGCCAGTCATGTCGATCTCAATCCGAGGAACGTCCTCTTTGCTGCCGTCGGGAGCAATCTGCTCCAGCAGGTGGAAGTAGGCCTTGGAGTCCTGCTCAGAAACACAAACAGATCAGAGAGCTGAGGGGTGGTCAGATCAGACTTCGCTGTAAACAGCTTCTTACAACAGTTCAACACGTGGACTTCTCTGTTTGGTGTTTTTATTAAGCAGAAAATCAACTGAAGGCAGCTAAACATACGTGTTTTTGTGGGAACTTTAACCTGTATTGGGGGGGGGGGGGGGGACTAGATGAATTATATTCTACACCAGCCCATGTTGGTAAATGGACTGCATTTATATAGAGCTCCTTTCTATCTAATCCAGATCCTCAAAGCTCTTTACAACATCTGTGCCCTCATTTACCTCCAAACACATTCATACATCACTCTACAATATCTCTACAAAGATAATCTGAATCTATAAAGATTAATCAGAGCTTTATCACATTCATACACTGATGGGACACATATGAGAGTCAATAAGGGGTTCAGTGTCTTGCCCAGGGACACTTCAACAAGTGACTGCTGGTGGAAACAAACCCCCAACCTCACTTATGGTCACAAACTCAGGGTAGAGACAGAAAGAACCAGGTTGTGGATAGAGACAGTTGAAATGAGGTTTCTCTGCAGCAGAGGTAGCTGGACTCTCCCTGCGGTATGGTGAGAAGTTCAGTTATCCTGGAGAGACTCGGAGTAGAACCGCTGCTCCTCTATATCCAGAAGAGCCAGTTGAGGTGTTTCAGACATCTGATAAGGAAGACCTCTGGACACCTCCATTGGGAGATTTTCCAGGCAAGTCCGATTGGGAGGAGACCCCGAGGAAGACCCAGGACGCTCTGGACAGACTAAATTATGTCTCTGAGCTGGTCTGGGAACACCGTGGAGTCCTCCAGAAGAGCTGGAAGAGGTTGCTGTGGAGAGGTCTGGATTTCCCTGAATCAGCTGCTGCCCCTGAGACCTGAGTCCAGAACAAAATGATGGATCATGGATCGATGAATGGAACTTAGGGGCAGCTGTGGCTGAGTGGTTAGAGCAGTCGTCCTCCAGTTGGAGGGGTAGGAACGTAGACTGACTGTTAAACAGAGAGCTTCTCCTTTCAGCTCAGCTTCCTCTTCACCAGAGGCTGCAATACTGCAGACAGTGCACAGTCTGTCAAATTCCCGCTTCATTCTTATTTCACTCATGAAGAAAACCCTGAGATACTTGAACTCCTCCACTTGAGGCAGAGTCTCACTCCCAGCCGAGCTCATGTTTCATAATGAAAGAATAGTTTGTGTGCTATTACTAAAGCATTTTAGTTTTCGCACCTTAATGTCCCCAGAAAAGTTGGAGATGGTCATGCCAGTTTTCTTCAGGTGGAAATTGACCCAACGGAGCAGCAGCTCTTCAGGACTGAGCTTCATCAACGCTTCCAGACTCTCTCCCTCCTCAAGTAGTGCTGCAAGAGCTGAACAAGGTGTGACAGTGATGGAGTGGAGGGGTCACTCAAACAGAAACAAGGATAAACGAACCATAAAGTTCAGATTGTTCTGAGAGTCTGACCATAGGACTTATTTTGTACTCAGTACCTTCATTGCGGCTCAGCTTAATATCAGCAAACAGTCCGATCTTGATGATCTGCCAGAGCAGACCCAGCACCAGGTGAGGTTTCCCCTCCTTCAGGTCCTGGGCTCCGATGTTCACCACCTGGCACCCGATCGCTGAAGCTGAGTTCAGAGCCAAGTTTAGATTCTCCTGTAGACACAAAGATGGCCCAACATCTACAAACTGCCTCCATTCATTCATGATGTTTGAACAGAGCTCTTTTCAGATTGGACTTTGTCTCATGGAGTTTGAAGCCGACCTGCGTGGTGAAAGCAGTGAGTTTCTTTTTATTGATGGTTCTCTCATCAATGGTGTCAGGAACAGACAGGTTGATCAGTTTGCTGCAACAACAAAGGTGAGGATAAAAAACATGGCTTATTGTCTGAACTGATACAACTAAACTCCAAAACTCTGTAAGCAATGATCTGCAGAGAAAAGAAAGGCCCAGCTGGAGGTGTACCACAGCACGACGCCATCTGCCACGGCTTTGAACAGAGCTCCGGTGCTGGGGTTGATGGGCAGAACATGTTTACAGTCTGGATCCTTCTCAAGGGCTGTGTTGATGTAGTTGGCGAAGGCAAAGCGCTCCTGCTCTGAAATACATGGACAAGCAGGGTGAAATGTTTCATTTGTGCTGAATTCTCTCTTGGCTGCAAACATAAACATTAATGACTGATGTGATGCAGGTTTGCCCTGAACCTCTACAGTAAGAACCAGGGCGGGGCATGGGCACCCTGAACCTCTACAAAAAGAACAGCTGGAGCTCTGAGTGGTGTGGAGCACTCAGCCCATGCTGGCGGGGGCGGGTACACCTGTCCATACAGTGACTAAGGTGCAGCTGAAGGGAAGCTCTACACCTACAGAAAGGTGGTGTTTTCACAAACGCTTTGATGCACTTTTATTTCACAACAACTCGGTAACTATTTTGAGAACTTTTGTTTTGGGAATTTTTTGAGCATGCTCAAAATCCAAGCAACAAACCCTGAGCCTGTGTGGCAGGTCTAAGGTGAGGGTGTCTTGGATGTTTCAGGTCACTTTGGGAACTCCTTCGTGAGGGGCATTCAGAGTTGGTCACCAACAGCTGCAGCCCGAGGAGATCCTGGTTCTGGCTTCACTAACCAGAGATTGAGTGTTGGGTTCCCTCACTGGAGATCTCACTGGTGCCTCCGATGGCTACAATGCCTTCTTTCTTGTTGAGAGCCTTCTTGAAACCCTGAGCCATCCGGTCATCCTTCAGCTCCTGAAAGATCTGAACATTTAACAAAAAAAATCATTCATTAGTTTAAATTCAATGACGGCACGTTTATTAAGCTGTCCATAGAGTTCCCATTCCAGCAGTCCTCATTTAATTATTTTACTGTGGTGTAACTGGCCTTTACCTCAGTTTATGAAGCACTAATGTCCCTCCATAACCACAGTGAGGCCTGCTGTTGATAACAGCCAGGTGGTCCTTTGTCTTTTTAATGGAGGATGTGGCATGTGTGGTTTCCAAAATCAAGTTTAAAATTAAATTCTCCTGACCTCAGCACTGTTGTCCACTGACTGCTGAACCTCTGCCCATCTTTACTTTGGGGGGATTAGGCCTCTCTAAAACAGTCTTTTGTCTGCCCAGTTAACCCAATTAATTAACCAATCAACTTAATTAATTAACAAATTAACAAAATTAATCAATTTACATAATTAATGACCTGATTAACTTACTTAATTAACTGATTTACTTAATTAATTAACCAATTAACTTAATTAATTCCACAATGCTCCTCCATTTGTTTCCTATTTGTACTGCTTAGTTTAACAGACTTTTGTAGTTCCTGTCTCAACTTTTATCCAACTTCATCTTCATCATAACATTTGAAATTATCTTTTATTTTCCCTAAAAATTGAACAATTTCTTATGTTCAACATTTCGTATGTGATCAACTGTGGAAAAAATTATAGTTTGTAAAAACTTGCAAATCATTTCTTTTTGTTTACATTTTACACAACATTCCAACTTTATACAGAAGCTTGGTTGTACACTAAACAAAGTTAGTTAGTTAGTTAGTTAGTTAGTTAGTTAGTTAGTTAGTTAGT